TGTTTCTCGCAACATTGATGAAGGTGATATTGCAGTGGATGACATTGTTATACGTAACTCGGTTTGTATAAATAATGGAGCTTGTGACTTTGAAATTGGTACATGTGAATGGCAGAATGACAGGACATGGAACTGGATTACAAGAAAAGTTAGGGATATTCCCAATGGCCCAAAAGTGGACAGGACTTTGAGAACGGAATCAGGCAAGTGCCATTACTGTTTTCCAAGCTACGAGAAAAAATGTTAATTTGTTATTATAGTCAATATAATATTATTTACAGGACAAATTTGAAATAAAGTGTCCTAATATACAAATAACTTTTTTGTAAACATCTAACGTAATAATCACTTTTGTTTGAAGGTGGGATACTTTATATTGATTATGAAAGTAACCCAGTAGAGGGCGACTCTGCACAGTTAGTTTTGACTGCTTTGCCTGCAACTGATGTCAATGGCAAATGTCTTCAATTTTGGTAAGTTCACTCACTCGCATTTCGTATCAATTGTTAACCTCATTGGCGGAACTATGTTAATACACACTTGTTAATACAATACAACTTTCATCATTGATTCTATTGATTTGAATATCTTTGTGATTTTGATTCGCACTAAGATTATACAACACATACATCAATATAACAACGTATACCTGACAGTTTTGATGTATTCAATTCGTGCATTCAGGTACTACACTTCTGGCTCATATGGTACACTAAACTTGTATGTGGACTATAGCACAACATTTCCAGGAAAACAATTATATTTCGTTTTAAATGCCGACCCTACCAATGAATGGACATTCGCAACTGTGCCAGTTGTCAGTACAGTCATACATACGGTAATACTCGTATTATTTATGTTTCAACTATATGTCGACAAACGTGATTGGTCTACAGTATCTCTGCTTATTGTGTTTACAATACTCAAACCGCAATAAGTTTTGCATAGGGGACAGTGTAGCCACTTTTTGTTGATTCGTAAACTTAATAATATAAGACATCAGCATAGTTATGTGTTTTCGTACACCTTCTCAAATACAATACACATTCGTAATCAAACATGCACAAGCTAGATGCTAGAAATGTATTACTTACCAATGCATTGGCCTGAGCACACCCCACGAAATATATATATTTTTTTCTGAATTCTACCATATAATTCAGATATCTGTGTAAACACGAAATATTGAGATATGTATTATATATACAATAATAGGTAATCATTGAAGTTGTCGCAGGGGATGGTTCAAGTGGTTTTGTGGCATTCGACGAGATACATTTTAGGACTGGTTGGTGCTCATGTAACACCTTCAACAGCTGAGGCACCTGCATCGCCACCCATCGCTCCCAGCACACCGGCACCAATAGGTTTGAACGTATAATCTGTATAATCATGTTAATATATTGCTTATGAATCAATCTATACTTGATTACGGCCAACATTATTGCATCATTTTGGTACAATAACTATACATAAACAGTCAGAATGGTTACATTACTATACCATGTCAGGTGAAGAGTAAATATGTTATGTATTATTCATTTTAGCAAACTGAAAGCCAACTATAAATGGACCACATGTTAAATGTGTATGTCAACTTACAAAACAATTTTATCACATTCATTGTAATTCCTACTTATGTCGATAAAGGAATATTACACACCAGAATTGTCAGATATTCACAGTATTATTCAATCCCTGTCCAGATCCCAGTCCTAATGATTGTGATTTTGAAACTGGATTATGTTTATGGACTCAGTCGACTGGAGATGATTTTGATTGGATCCGCAAACAAGCCTCCACTGGATTTGGACCAAATGAGGACCACACTACTGGAGATGGTAATTACCAAACAAATATACGAAAAATTTGTTGTATGAACTAAAAAATATCCAGTTATAACAATATATTACCTCCTATTAGTCAGATACTGCCTAATTATGAAGAAATGTTTCTTTGTAATAGCGGGATATGGAATTTACTTTAATGCAAACAGTGTTTCAAAAATCCTTATGTAGATGAAATGATATTATAAATGTCCAGTTAGATGACATGATATTAGACATGACCAGTTAGATGACATGATATTAGACATGACCAGTTAGATTGTAACATCAATTGTGGTAAAGATTACATATTTATGACTGTATGATTTATTCTTAAGTCATTTTCAGAAGGAGTAGAAATCGGCAAGAGGTTGCAATTAGTTGAAATCTGGATCTCGTTGCCATGGAACAATTTTTTTTGCTCTGGAGATAATTTAGTAAAGGATTGTTGACCTTTATCAGATAGTGTCTTCTTTTTGTCAGCAAACCTATTCAACCAGAAGTTTTTTTTTGCTTTTGGAGTGCCTTATAGTTTTTATTATATTCATTTTGTCAGGATAGATACGTAGTTGCATATCTATCAGTATGACAATGTTTTGATAAATCATTTATCTCATTTGGTACCATATATGTTTATGACATAAAAATTGTTAATATTTAAGGAATCTAATATTTTTCAATATTCGTCACTTTATGAACTTATTAAATGTAAAAAAATGATAAACCATATCTGTATTTTCATTTGCATATATTGTCTGGTTGTAATACTTATTATTTATATAGGCAGTGGCTGGTACATCTACATAGAGACTGATTACCAATCAACAGATGACATGGCGTGGCTAGAGAGTCCCACCATCCCTGCTTCTGCGACCTGTCTCTCATTTTGGTATCATATGTATGGTACTCGGGTAAACACATTAACTGTATTCATCAAAACCCATGACACTAAGAAGAATCTTTGGGTTCACGAAGGCGGTGAAATTGATGGCTGGTTATATGCTTACGTTCCATTGGACTTCACTGATTCATTCCAGGTACGTAATGTATAATGATGTACATTTTTTAACAAAACTTTTAAAATGAATTTATATATTTCTCCATATCATGGTATCCATATTTTCCATGCTTTAGTCTAAATTTCAATCTGATCTTATGATAACTGGTTTTGTTTAATACATCCTTTTCACTAAGATAAT